GCAACATTAGCACTTCGTTCCCCTGTCTGACTACCCGATAATATTCCCGCATCCTCTAGCGCCCTCCACATTTCATCCACCCTGGGGTCCCCTATTAGTCCAGCTATCGGGACTACGCGACCTCGACCTCGACCTCTACCTCGACCTCTATCTCGACCTCGACCACTCATCTTACTAAATCTCACAAAAGCTCACCTGCTATAATCCCACGCAGGAATTAGAAACCTAGGTCAACTATCCCAGTTTAAAGCCCTAGGAAACAAATCACAACAACAATTCATTAAGCAGGCAGCCAATTACAAACAACACCTAATCACAACCAACATAGTTCGTGCACTTACCTCAAGTCCTGACGCACCTGCATCTCACATATTATTGCATAAAAATCACTCAGCAATCACAATCACATAGTCTGGGGTACGCATGGCACACGAGTTTCCCTAATTGGCTACCCCAAAGTCATCGCTCTTTTATCACTCCAGGTTTCGACCAACTTGGATCGAGCTGACCTTGCTCTGATACCAAATCAATCGGGATTTCACGCTCCGGACCCCAACGGGCTCGCGACACCCCTTCAACGGTCGTATTGAACGTGACGTTCCAGGACGCGTCGCCGATCCCATGCAAAACACCCAACGATAAAAGGCAAGCGAAAGCGAATTTAAAACAACACAGACAATAAAATATGACAAAGGGATAGCACAAAACAATAATTGCATAACATCATATAGTAGTCACTATTACAGAACGATAACCTGGGCTACCAATTTCAAACCACGCTTTTCAAAAGGGGGCGGTGGTTGACAAGCTTATCTCCTCTACAAAAAGGTACTCAAAAGACATGGTAAATTTGATCTATCCTTCAATCCCTGTAGTATTCTGGCGGCATCTCCGAATCGATCACGGTCGCGGATCTGAAAGTGGTTATAGAATAACCGTGAGAACGAGTCTCAATAAGCAACACCCTAAACCCTACGAAGGCCAATGCGTACCCAGACAAGTTATACACGCAATCTAACCAACAACATAACGAGCTCACAACATTGTACTTACCTTTGCCATCAGAACGCGTACTAACTCTGCACGTTAGTCAAAACGCGACAAGACAATAATACTAACTCAATAACATATCACAATCAATCAAACGCCAACCACACTGGCACTTGATCAATTCAACCAATTCAATCACACATTCAATCAGCCAGTCCAATCAGTTCAATCAATTCAATCACACACAACTCGCATGCATGGTCGAACAACTTTCCACGATCTCCTAGGTCCTTTCACACTGCCCGCGCCACTGCGCCTCAGGTCTAATCTCACAGCCCGCGCTACTGCGCCTCAGGCTCAGCCCTCAGATCAAGCCGAGCTCGGTCCCGCGTAACCACGCCTCAGGACATTTTTCCCCTTCCAATGACCCGCGTAACCTACGCTTCAGGTCTGGTCATGCCTTTCTCGCCACACCCGCGTAACCACGCCTCAGGTTGGCAGCCCTCCGATTAATCCGGGCTTTTCTCATGCACATGCACCACAACACAATTCGCCATTCTCACAAGTCATACCAATCAAACTCAAGGCATGCTCACCACAATATTCCACCAATCCGACCTTCAAGTCGGTCACATTCAGCTATCAACTCCACTCACAAACGCCACGATAAGCCAATCATTGACCACCAACAATAGCCACAAATATGCACTCACAATCATCCCAATTCCAAATCACAAGCTCACGATTCCGACATTCAAGACGGTCACAATCACACGTCAATTTTCCCTACACACGCCACAACAATACGGACATTTAACCCACCATAATTAGCCACTAATCAAGCCCCACAATTATCACAATTTAATCTAGCAAATACGCACATACGAATATTGACCCTAATTCACGTTTTAGCCCATAAACCGGTATTAATCACGACTTAAACAAGTCTAAAAATACCCATAGTCCTAAATAAGGATTAGGAGGTCACTTACTTCAATTTGGCCCGGGAAAAACTCGCACGGGCTCAAAACGGGCCGGGTGAACAGTAACGACGAGGGTGCGACGGGCGCGGGGCTCGGCCACGGCTCGGTACACGGCCACGGCCCGGGGCAGTCCGGCCACGGCTCGGGACGCTAGGGCGACGGCAACGACAACGGCGGTTGGGCTGTCCCGGCGAGTCACGGCGGCCGCAAGTGGGCCGAGCAAGGTCGGCGGGAGGCCGGGTGGTGGCGGGCCAGAGCTGAATGGTGGCGGCCGGACGGCAGCAGCGGCGCGGCGGCTGGACGGCGCGACGCAGGGGAAGAGAAAACGGGGAGACGTCGGGAGGAAGGAAAAAGCGAGGGAAAGAAATTTGAGTGGCGACGAAAGGCAACTGGGCGGTGGAGGTGGCGAGCGGGAAGGATCGAGCGGGGCGAGGCGGGCGGCGGCGGCGGAATAGCGGCACGCGGCGGCGGCGAAGCTGGGAGCACGAATAGGGGAAAGCACCGGGGAAGAGAGAAACAGGGGAAGATGAGGTCGCGCGGCGGCCGGAGGCGGCACGGCGACAGGCTGAGCGGGCGGCTGCAGCAGCGGTCGCGGGCGATGGCGGCGCGGCTCGGTCGGGCAACGGCGGCGCGAGGCGAGCGAACGGACGGTGGGCTAGGCTGGTCCCAGTGGCAGGCAAGCGACGAGGCCGAGGCAGGCGATCGCGGCGGAAGAGAAGACCCACGGAGAAGAAGAAGAAGAGAGGAAGAAAAGAAAAGAAGAAGAAAGAAAGAAACGGAAGCGAGAGAGGAGTGGATGGGTCTGACAGGGGGGGACAGACGTGCGAAGGGGGGGAAAGTGACCGGAGAGAGAGAGAAAGAGAGAGAGAGAGAAAAATAAATAAACATTCAAATAATAATTGCGATCCGATGGCCTATATTTAAAACCGAAAGCGATCTACCGGTCCAAATTAATCCTAGAATATAATAATGGACAAAGGCCAAATTAATTAAATCAAACTACCTCGAGGGAGGTCTACTAGTCCAAATTTGCACCCGGTCAAAAATCCACTTTTCACATATCCCGGGCAATATCGAGGCTGGCCACAATAATATCGACACCGTCCAATTAAATTCGTCCCGAAACTCCGAGAAATTCGACACCAAAGTTTGGGCTCTAAATAACGGCAAAATTCGATCAATGCTATTCTAGCGAAATCTCAAATTTAAAACAATAACCGGGAGTGATCAGTTCCCGGGCGAGATTTTACTATAAACACATTGACGAATTACACGTTTTGTAAATCCCAAAAATGGGCCGAAATTCGGAATGTCACAGATATATCTGACATATAATTATTCTGAGTGAATGAAACATGTCATCATTTTGACATATTTACCACAACGGAAAACTTCATCCAAGATATTTTAGAGAATGGTAAGGTTGTTGTGAAAAAGATCGCTATAGTAAAGAACCCAAAAGATTAATATGACCAAGCATGTTCCTTTGGCGAAATTCAAGCTTTGCTTGAGTACAATTGACGTCTGTGGAGAGTGAGCATCCATCGGGGCGTTGGATAATAGTATAGATGATAAGTACTATGACCTGACTTCAAAAGTCAAGTCAAGATGGAGAATTGTTACGTTATATTTCGAGTTTAAGCCCACGTACGAAACTCGATTCGGATTGGATGATGTATATCAAGAGTATTAATTAACCCGTTTGCATATGAAAATATTGTTATTGTGGCTTTATCTTGTAAGTTAAGAAGACGTCCAGTGGACGTCAACTCCAAAAGACATTGTGGTGACGGCCCACAGGCGAGGGTCAACCTCACTGGCTCGCGCCAGTGGCCGGTCAGCGAGACCCAGAGACCAGCAGAGGAAGAAGGAAAAAGAAAACAATGAAACGAAAAATAAAATAAAAAATATTAAAAATATAAAAAAATTGAAAATTTTTGAAAAAAATTTGGCTTTGATGGATCTAGGCAGGGCTTTGAGGACCAAGGCTCGGCCTCGATATTAATAGGCACAGGCATCGGTGTCCTTGGCCTAGCCTTGGTGGACCTGGGTGCGGTCCATATGGACCTACGCTAGGGCCTTAAGAACCTGGCCCAATTGTCAAGGGTTCGAGAACAAGCATTGGGGTTTTCGTGCCTAAACGTCCAAATGTTCAAATCTAATTATATTTTGAAAAAACATGATTCCCTATTTTTTAAAGAGAAATCATTTTATTAAATTTAAACTCCGGTAGGAAAACCTTTTCCGTTAACTAGGAAACCTCTTCTGTTAACTAGGAAACCTTTTCCGTTAACTAGGAAAATATTTTTTGTTAGCTCATTTTCCCGAACAAGCTAAACACCGCAAAATATTTTTCTCGAAATAAATGTAGCCTTAGTGACACAAAAAAAAAATTCGAAGTATTTGTGTCGTAATAACCATAATTTGAAGGTTTTTTTGGTTAATATTACGAAAAACTCCAAATTGATACATCTGTGACAATTTTACCTCGAACTAATTTTTTGACCACACAAAACCCCAAACTGATACACCTGTGATAATTTTACCCAAAACTAATTTTTTGATCACTAAAAATCCCAAACTGGTACATTTGTGATAAATTTACCCTCCGTTAGTGTCTGTTAAATTGGATTAATATTACGAAAAACCACAAATTGGTAAACTTGTGATAAACAGAGGGGTAAAACCGCAAACTGATACACCCATCAACTATCATGTGTCATCAAACTTAGTAATTTGACCGTAAAATTTAACGGAAACTAACGGATGATAAAATTGTCACAGATGTATCAATTTAGGATTTTTGATGGTCAAAAAATTAATAATAGGGTAAAATTGTCACAAACGTATTAGTGTGGGTTTTTTTGACTTTTTGGTGGTAAAAAAAATAGTTCGAGATAAAATTATCACAGATGTATCAGTTTATGATTTTTTGTGATCAAAAAAATAATTTAAAATAAATTTGTTATAGGCGTACTAGTTTGAGATTTTTCGTCGTATAAAATTTTTTTTTTTTGGGCCGTACCACTTCTTTTTTGTGTTCATCGTTCTCGGTAACCTATCTCCCTCCTCGCCGTTCTCGCGTTCTTCTTCCTCCTCCTCCCTCGCGCTCTGCGACCTGCTCGTGCTCGATCGATCGAGAGACGGCGAGGGCGACGTCCCGCCATGGGGTACACGAAGGACCAGTTGCTCACTCGCCTACAGGTATATGCCCCCGCTCCCGGAGCCATTCGGGCCTTCGCGTTCGGCTCGCCGGGCTTCGGTGCAATTCGCTCCGAGGAATTCGCTCCCGTTTTCGCTTTCGAATTGCGCTAATGATGGGGCTTTTGAATCGCTGGCCCTCTTGTTCCGCAGTTGTTTCGATCTTCCATCTGTTTTGAATTGTGTTGCGTAACGATCCCGCAATTGTGGGCTGGCTGTAGTAGCGTAATGTGCCGCGAGCTTGAAGCGTGCCTCTTTGTTCTTGTAGGAGCTTCAGATTGAGTTCTCGAAGTATGAGCATCCTGTCGTTTTGACTGTTGAGGCTCAGGTATGCGGGGGCGGGGCGAATTGGGTTGCGTCTCGTTTTGTCCTTTGCCTTTTTATCTCGTGGTGTCGGGAGGAGAGTTTTAATGTTAGTGGGTGTTGTTTGGTTTGATCAGGCAAAACATGTTGGGAATGTCGGTGCTGCGCTCAGTAAGAACTTGTTCTTGAAGGTATGGTCGATAACTTTGAGCATTCGTTGAATTTGGGAATTTGGTGCTGCGACTAAGATCCATGATTGTTTTCTGATGACTTATACTTCCATCACATGGGTGCGGTATAGTACACATCTACGCTTCCTTAAGGGCGAGCTTCTCTTAAAGATCAGTTTTCCGTTGTGGTAAATCTTGCATTTTGACCCGAGTCACCATCGTTGTGTTTACAACACGGCATAATCAAATGTGATTTTGGAGTGACTCTGAACTTTGAGCACACTTAATTTTTAAACCATGAAATTTTTTATGGTTTAGGACGAGGCTTTTGATCGAAATTTGGAGTCTAGATATGCCAAGTTGCTTCTTGAAAGTTTATCACTATGCCTATGGCAACTAGGACTAAGGGGTGAAACATATGGCATTTCTACCTAGCTCTTTCTTGCTTCATGGACCATATTTAGCTAATTGAATGCTCTTCATTGAAGCAATGTGCTGCAACGAATTAAAGAAATATTAAGTATTTTATAAGAGATAAGCCCTCAGCAGCAATATTTTGGGCATTAGGTTCCTGTCATTTGATAGAGTTGTCAGTAATCAGGTATTGCTGTATTAATCAGGCCAATAATTTGCTCTCACTTATGTTTGCAGGACAAGAAACAAAGGTTCTACATTGTCTCTGCTCTTGCTGATACTAAAGTAGATCTGAAAGGTACACAACCTGTTATGCAGTTTAATGAATTTGTAAGTTTGAATGGCAATAACTATATAACCATAAACTCCTCTCTTTTGGGCTTTTAAATTTAAGAAGCAATTTTTGTGTTTGATCAGTTCTGTCACAACGGCTTGGTTTGGGAAAAGGAGGTTTGAGAATGGCACCAGAAGAAGCATTAGGTGAGATACTTCAGGTTGGTATATGCATTGATTTGAAGTTCTTCTGGTCCCTCTTAGGGTGAGGTATAAACTTCCGTTACCTCCAATACTGTCTTTTATTCTTTGTATCTAAAAGTGATTCCACAAAGGATCTTTTATTTCTTTTGATTTGTTTCTTTGCACTTATGATGATTTTTGAGTATTTTGGGACCACATTAAGTTCCATATGCTGGTTTTACTTCTTCTGATGAAAGATAAGTTAATGACTCTTGCGAGGTGTATGTATTCTTAATGATCTGCTTATTTTGGTTTCTCAAATCAAAGGAAACACGAGACATTCTTTTTCTTTTCTTTTATAGAAGGATCTCATTGCTCATAAAAATTTGATGGTTGATTTGAGTACGTGGATATTACATTCTCTGACATTGTGCCTTTTTATGGTGTTTTATAGGTGCCTCTTGGTTGTGTGACTCCTTTTGCCTTAGTAAATGAATCGGCAAGGTATTCATCTGTTCTTGCTTAATTCATATCTTGACAATCATATTTCTATACGTTCCCTTTTCATTGAACTTTGGGGGTGGCGAAACAGTTTTTGGAATGCAAATTTTTCTGCATATTTTTAAATCTATTAAATGAACAGCATTCATTTGGAAAATTGTTGAATGGCATCTTTTTAGATGTGTTCTCAACAGGCCTGATTAATAGTTGTAGCACTGAAACCAATCGTCCGATTTCGCCATTCCCAAAGCAATTGCCAACTATATACAGTGTCCTCTAGGCTCTAGCGTGATTCTTCTGTTCATGGAATTGGAACATGATTTTTTTGTTCAACATTCGAATCTGCAGTTAAAACCAGTACATGATTCTTCTGTTCAGCATTTGAATGGGTTTGGTATTACGTTGGAGCTTCCATGAGAATTTTGTTTCGCTCTGTAATGGGCATTATGCCTGTTTAATTGTTTTTAATACTTAATACTGTCAAAGTATGTTTATGGATATTAGTCGGTAGTTAGTAGGTGGTCATAATAAAGGAAGTTAGGGTTTTGTTAGCGTGTCTCGTGCTCATGAATAGAGCCATGTATGTATTATTTAGCTATGCTATAGAGTAAAGATGTAGCCTCTTAGTACTTTCTCTTTCCCTCTCTCTTGAAGATCCTGCGATATTTACATGGTAAAGTAGCCACCAAGAGGGAGGGACCTAAGCCCAAAAAACCTCTAAAGTCCAAAAACCCAATCGTTATCTTTCTTTATCTGCCGGTCTTTAAAAAAAAAACCTCGTCTCTACCATCATCCTTTCCACCTTCTATTCTGAAATGGAGACCACCGCCAATCCAAGTCCTTCGTTTTTGTCCACCCTTCGTCATCCTTGGGAGCAGCCACAACCGGTAGTCCTTAAGAGCAGCATCATCGTCCTCTGCTTGGTACAGTCTCATAACTGTTCCAGTTGTCTCCGAGAGCAACTCTCTCTCGTGAGCCGCCGATCTCTCAGTCGTCATTCGGAGGAGTTGCCGTCGTCCGCTGTGGCCTTGTCAGGCTTGTCACCAACCTCCTTGTCGATGGTGAAGTCTAACACAAGTTGAGCCTCTCTATTATCTAGTCCTTCCGTTGTGCATTCGTTCTCGGTCATGGTCATTGGCTCTGCTTCTTCATCAAAGTCAAGCTATTGATCTTGTCCGTTTGCTGTTTTTGGTCTTAAGCTTGTTATTTTGTTGTCTTTTCCAACTCCCAAAAAAAGGCAATCTAGGGTACGTTAGTGCTCCAATCTGCATGACCTTATCTCTAGAAACTTCCCCCATCCTCGGGAATTCCCAACAAGCCTAATGTGGATGATATTCATTGTCTCTTCATCGATTGCGAGCTTCATAGACAAGCGAAGCCTCTGCCAAGTTTCTAGGTAGCTGTAAGCGCCACAGTCAAGCACGCCTTTGTCGAGTAGCCAGAGTTGAATGTCATGGGATGATGCAATTTAGTTTTCCACAATTCATGTTGGGTTCTCACATGATTTTATCAAGGTTCTGTGAGAAATGGATGACAATTTTCTAATTTCTGTTTGTTTCTTCAGTGCTTCTGTAATATACGGTGATGATGTGGAGTACATTTAGTTTGTCGTGTAAGGTCTGGCTTGCATAATTGTCGTCGTCTTAAATCTGGTTCAGTGTATCCACATTCCTTGTCAGTGTGAGGTCTGGCTTGCATGACGCTTTGGTTGCAGACTTTGGAAGAAAGCTGTACCTGACATATGTTGGCTGGATGCTCCGGTTTGTGGGGGAGTATTGCAGTATATTTATAGATATAGTCAGTAGCTAGTAGGTGGTCATAGAAAAAAGGAAATTAGGGTTTTTTTTAGTATGTCTCTGTCATGCTCTACAAATGGAGTCATTAATATGTTCTTTGATTATGCTATTGAGTGAACATGTAGCCTCTTAGTATTTTCTATCTTCCTCACTCTTGAAGTTCCTACAATATTTGCAAATGCCATCAAGCAAGGAGTAACATTCCTATGCCATGTAGGACTAAGCTTTATTTGGAGCTTTTACCCAACAAGGGGTAGTGAATTAGAGAAAACATCCCCTTTTAGAAGCTGTAAAAAACTATTGGGATATTGCTGAGAATAATCAAAATTGGAAACACACACAGGCGCATAAATGCCCACGTGCACACATGTTGATGGTGCATCTATGCATGTGCATTTGCACAATTGGACATACAAACATGTACATAGTGATTTTACACCTTGATTTTGGAGAAGTAATTTACATTTATGTTTTGGGATAGACGGAATAAAATGGGTTGATATTGGCGTGATCTAACAGATTATTTGAGATCCTTCCCCAAAAATGGAACAAATAGAATCAATAACAAAATAAAAACATTTCATGTCGTATTGGCATTAGCATATAGATCCAATCAAGGGTTGGAACGAGCACATAATGAAAATTTTTTCTTTGAACACTATTGGGTTGAGACTTGATGAAAAAAATGGTAACTTTAACAATTTCCTCGAGTTTATTTGTCCCCCTAATCCCTTTTTTTCAGGCTTTTATTGATGTTCGAATCTCCATGTCAATCCCATATAGTATTCATTAGTATTTCTTTGTATATCATTTATATCGCGTTATGCAATCTAACATATGTCTTTTCTGTTGAAGTCATGTCTCGTTGCTGCTTGATCAGGGATTCAAGTCCCAACAGGGTTGCCTCTTTCATCCGCTGTCGAATGACACGTCAATATGTAAGCAAGTCTCATCATCCATAGTTATTCTGGCATTGTCTAGCTGTTTGATTTCGATCCAGCATACTCAACTGAGTTAAACCTTTTCTCCTCCAGCCGGCATCCACTTCATGTCTTCCTGCTTATATTTTTGGCTTTACTTAAGCTTTCTTGGTTACTCTTCCTCATAAGTTGAAGATAGTTGTATAATATGGGAGCATACATCTCAGAATTTGTAAAACGATGAACACTTTTTTTCGCTAATTGGGCTACTTCCAGTTGCATTCTACCTGATGCCATATTAATCTCGTGGATTTCCGGATAAAGTGAAGATTTTTGAGTTAACATTTAACAAGTGACTCTGTGTTTCCAGCTCTTAATACCTTCAGTCTCGACATGTTTCTGAAATCAATTGGAAGAGATCCCTCATATGTTGATCTTGAGGTACTTTGAGTTCCACTTGCTTATAGATTGAACCAATGGTTTCTTATTATTATTAATTATTTGAGGAAGAAAACTGTGTTCCTTTCAGGCTAACCCCAAAGTAGGGAAGGATCAGCCACCCGATTTGGCTGCTCTTGTTCCGTCTGACTCCATTGTCTTGCCAGAATTTGCCGAAGGAGAACTTCCTTCAAAACCTTCCAATGAGAATCATGCTGCGACAGATGTTAAGCCAAAGGCAGTTAAAGGTAAAATCTCGTCTTGCAGCAAAAATGAGTGGTGCACTTATGGTATTTCGTATTGGTAATGCATTCATTCAGGTCAAATTCAATAGCTGCGGCTTTTTGTGCATGCCTTTATGGAAGCATTTGAAAGTGAGAATGTATTCTAAAATTGGTTACGAGCATAATTTGCAGCAGATGTGCAATCTTATCACGCAATTATGTAGGTGTGGCTACTGGTGGCAAATGTGTACTTTGTCCTGTATAGATCAGGAAATTTATCAATCAATCGCATTATTCGTAGTTTGAGTGCTCTTGCTTCTGTATTTTTGCCTTTTGAAATGAAGAGCTGGCATAGCTTCTGAAGTAGATTCAGTCAAGTATGAGTCATAATATATATTTAGCTCTCATGTTTCTTTTCTAATCTTTATACATTATCCGAAATCCATCTTCTGTCAAATTGATTTTGACCCTATTGGGCTCTTGCTTTCTTTGATTATTTGAAAGCTTGTGTGAGATTGCTGCGGCACTGGTAATTGATAGGTTTTCATTATACAGACTATTGGCAGATGAATTTAGGTGTTTAAGAGTTAGCATTATTTGTTCCATTGGTGGAAAAACTAAAAGCCATATTCCGTAGAGTTAGCATCATATCTTCTCTTAGTGGAAAACTAAAAGCCACGTTCTGTAGACTCTATTCTCCTCCTTTTCGTTCCCTTTCATCATTGCTTAAGCACTCAGACTTGGATGAAGTAGGATTAAGTTTTCCTGGATTTGGAACATGTGGATTGGCAAATAGTCCCAGAACTTGGACATTGTTCCCTGGGCACGTAGACTGATGGATCATAGATTTTTGCTCTCTGAATGTTGCCAATCCAGATTCTGTGGTTTTGTCAGCTACTTTGTATTTTCAACTGTAGGACGATATGCTCCCATTTCCTCGTCATTTCACATTGACATAGGCAGAAAATTGGTCCATGGTAAACCTAGAGCAACACTGTTCTAGCAAACCCTGAACCTCCCATTATTTCTCCTGGAGTGGAGAAGAGGGTCATGTGTGCATTATTTGAGTTTGCATTCTTGGTTCATTAAATTTTCTTGATAGGAAAGAGTGCTTAACCTTGCTTTTGCAAACTTAGAATGTTGCCTTTTTGTTTATTGGGCTGGATGAATTCTTTACTAATCTATGCATGGCTCTTTGATCATTCTTATCATGTAATAAAACTTTCATCTTAAAATGATGTAGCCAAGGCTGTTAAGACACCTGCTACTGCTGAAAAGGTCAAGGATAAACCTTCTACAGAAGTGCTTCCATCCATCTCCTTCACTGACGCAGGGCAGTTTGTGGAAGAAATTCTAGAAAAGACGTCAGCTATAATACTTTCAGAGGTAATCAATCTGTTGTGCGTTTACTCCTTGGTCAGTACGTTAGCCAAGAAATGAGTCCTTTCCTTTCTTAAAAGAGAGATCACATGCCACAGATTCGGGAGGACACTGTTAGGCAACATGGAGAACAATTGGGAGCAGTGGTTTCGGATACCCTCAGAAAGCGTCTGAGCTCTGAGTTGAAAAACCTCGCTGTAAGCATCTCTACACTGGATGTTACCTTAGTCAAGACGTAGTAAAGCAGATAATCTTTACCTCGGCAACCTACTTTGATAATTTTAATTATTGTGTTTTCCTTCTGTCAGTTTTCAGCAGAGTATTTCTCATTCTCCCTTCTAATGGTTTTACAGATTATGTTCAAGAATACTGCTTATACGGAAGGTTTCCATGCCGGTACTCGTCACTAACCAAAGCGTCCCTGAGCTTCGTTAGTTAGTCACTCTGATGGTTTCCGAACTTCGTCGATACTTGAATGTCATTACCCCGAATGTGCTAATTGTGACACATTTCTCTTCGTTAGTTGCGTACCGGTCATCGAAATATATGGCTGATAATGCAGCCTAATAGCGAGCTAATCTTGTTTCCGTTGATCTACAATGGGATTGCGTGTGTTCGAACGTGTTATCTGCCCCTTTACTTGTGAAAGGAGTCTTGGCAGATTTGAAAAACTCGGCAAGCTCATCATTTTGTCTAATGGTGTCTTTTGAGTCGAAGCTCTAATACACTTGTGGAAGAACTCACTTGAGCCAAGAAAGTAAAACGAAATAATGAAACGTCACTTAGGGTTCCTTTGTTCGAAGGAAAATTATTTTCTAGAAATTATTTTTCGACTTTTCGGTACGTGGATGATGAAAAACTAATTAATCTATGTCCATGAATTGAAAGCAAGAAGCCTACTTTGGGGAAAAAAAATTTCCTCCTCGAGCAAAAAGGAAATTACTTTTCCTAGATCACTAAACAATATATTTTTTTAAATCATGGAGTTTTTAGTGAAATAAACACTCTTAATGAAAAAAAACTATGAATGGATCATTATAACCTCATTATTTACAGTATTGCTACAGTGATGAATAGTGATTGCTACAGTATCTCCTACAGTACATTGCTACAGTAGCTTCGACAACGAATCGTTTTTTTCAAACATGCTTCAGAAGAAATTTTATCTTCTGATCCCGAGACACCGAATTTCACCAAACCAGCTATTCTTGTAGGCATCTTTATATAAAAATGTGAATCGTTGGGTAATTCTCTTGTAAATCCGGACAAACTACAAGATGCTACCGCATTGTGGGGCGGGGGAGCCACTTCCATCCTTGCGTACGTAGTATGTAACTTTGGTTGAACGTAAAGGAAAGAAACGAAAGTGCTATAAAGTTTAAACCCCAAAGGATTATCATTTACCAATAGTCAACATGGCATGATTGCCTTCGTCTTCTGTCTTTCTTCTCAGTATCGAAGTAACTCCACGGACTTGCCTGACACAGACTACATCAACTTTTCATATTTCAAGGGGCACATGCGTTTGTACCCTATCAAATCTCGAAGTTAAAATAGACGAGAAAAACAGTGTCAAAAATTATATTGAATTTTGAGGAAAAGATAGGTAAAATCGCTAATTGAATTCTGTTAGGCAAGAAAAAGGTACAACCCTCGAGTCGGTCTATACTAGACTTGTCAAAATGGATCATAAATCCATTTCTTAGACTATATATTAGTAAATAGGTTAGTTATATTTAGTAAATTGGTCATAAATGGCTATAAGCATAGTATGATTGTAAAATGGATCGAAAATATGTCATTAATGGATTTACAACTTATTTGAACTTAACTCATCTCCCTCGCCTTCACTCAATCTCGTACTCATTCACTCCGCACTCTTATCTCAGTTTAGGTATGAGTTTTACTAGATTTAATTAAATATGAAAATATTTTAGCAACATGGGTCTGGTCGGATATGTGTTGGATATGGGTCGGGTCGGGTCGGATCGGATTAGATGTGGGTCATTAGATTTGCATTACATGAAAATGGGTCAAAATTAGTTAAATGAGTCTGTTTGGGTCGGACCATTTTCGATCCGACCCACCTGTTTGACGAGTTTAGTCTATATAGATGAAACGAGTACTGGTCCAGCTATCTATGTAGTTGATCTCGAATCGTTTGCACGTCATCTTAGCTTCGAGTTCCCTGGGATTTCGAGTATTAATCCGATAGGACTCGGTCGATGAGATTTGATGAAGTAAAAGATGGTCAGAATTTCCTTGATTGTTATTAGGAATTTTTCGGAGAGTGACATCTTTGGCTCTAGAGAAACTTTGCTAGCTATTAAAATGATGAGTTTCCATCTGTCAGAATTGAATGGAAAGCCCCCTGTTTATTGAGGGGACGGGAGCATCTGTAATGGATATCCAATCTCTCCTCAAAATTGGGCTCGTGGCAAATCATTCAATCTCTTTTGAATTTGAATGGAAAAAACACAAAAAACTCTTAAATCTATTATATTTATACCAATTCAGTTCTAAATTATTTAATTAAATTAATTTATTATTAAATCTTTTTACATTAGTACCAATTCAGTCTATTCGGCCAATTTAAATCGGAAATCGCTGACGTAGATGCCGGTCATCTTACGTGGCACGACCGGCTCTGATGTGGATATTTTTAATAATAGTTTAATTCATTTCATCGGGCAATATTTTATTAAGCGGATGATTTGCCAAATAGTGGGACGGTGTCGGACTTCGAAGTTTGATTGAACAATGACGCTAAGGGTATAGGACATATGGCGTCCTACCAGTGGCTTTAATTTTCACCGACAGAGAGAGAGAGACAGTCATACACGCTGGAATACTATAATATCATTTGATTATCATAAGCTGGTATCAATAGACTGAGCTAGAGCTCATAAAAGGGAGTATCAATTATACAAATCAGACAGAAATTAAGCACTCAATGAAAAAGCATACTACATGATATGCATTATTGTAAAGCATTTGGGCTAATACTTTCTCTCCAAGCCCCACACGCACCCGCACAATGCGATGCGATCAGCATTTGGGCGCATTAGGGATCTTGCACTTGCTGGGGAGCGCCATTGCAAGCTTCGCGTCGACCCCGATTGAGGGCAAGATCGACGAGTTCTTGTACTGGCAGAAGCACTTCAGGTCTGCGTGCGAGAGCCCCGCGCAGCACGCGCTCGTGGGCGGCGGTGGGTTGGGCGGCGTCGCTGCTGGCTTGCAGGACATCAGCTGCGCATAGGTCATGTTGCAGATGGTCTGTGCGTCGGCGCAGCAAGCCATCGCAACCATCAATCCCAACAGAATCGCCGCCTTCTTGCCGGTCGCCTCCATCTTCTTCTTGTTGGCTAAATGATGACAGTCACACTCGTGGTCTCTCTAATTCAAGGGTTATGCTTTGCTTCTTGGCCACGAGAGAGGGAGTGATGTTTCGTGTGCTTTATATAGAGGAAGGATTAGGGATCATTTTGGGAATGCACGTGAATAAACATTGTCTCTAAGTAGGTCACCACTTGCACTGTGGTGTCACGGGCTACGCGTACATGTGGTTGAAAGAGAGGCCAATTTTCTTCGTTGATTTTCGTTGCCGAAAGGGATTATTTCCGCTTTGTCCATACGTTGTTTGTCTATTTTTTTTCGATCGCATGAGGACTCGATATGAGGGAGAACGGCTACATTTGGTGTTCCTTGGATTCTTGAACACTGATCGAACCGTCTTGTGACGGTGGAGATTCCTATTTAGTTCTCTTCCCTTAGCTATCACGAGAGATTAGGACAAGTAAGCATCGTGATTAGACTTTGAAGAGCCTAGGTTTGGTTTTTAGGAGTCATGGAAGCAAATATTTCATCTTCTGGATTCTAGTTGCGGGAATTGCAAGGACACCCACGTGTTTTGCTCAATATATTAGTAAAGACGGCCTCTTTTAAGTAGTTTTAAAAGGGCCGTGTTTTTCTTTATCCTTGATTAGAGGACCTCCTACAGCTCTTTTGGTCGATGGATTACAAAAATGGATATTGTCTGCGTATATAGTTACGGTTTGCACACGGGTGGTGTTCATACAAATAACTCGCCAATCAAATGCCTCAAATCAATTCTATATGGAGGAAAACACGGGCCATTGTCGTCCCGTGACCCGCTCGGGATGGAAATATAGTCCCCGTTCCCACCTCATGCCTTACACCTGTTGGAAAAACATCTTCAAATGAATTTTGATGATACCCAAATTATCCTTGATATAATATCTATTTTGTCTAAGTGTAGACATATTTAAAGGATTGAGTGATACTCATAATGTTATTCATTGAAGAAGATCACAAGACTGTCCTTGAAGGATCGTATAAACAGCACCATCGATCTCAAAGATCAGCTAAATGACGATGTCTTATTTAAGCTGAAGAAATCTAGTAATTGATAATGTTTAGGTAACACTTCATTTAATATTACCGTTATGTCACTAAGATAGCCATTGGGACTGGACATGCATAGCAGAAGATCAGGCAGAAGGAGAACTGACGGTCTGACAGGTAGTCAGAATTGCAGCTATTGTAAAGCAGCATAAGCTATTTCAAGAAAGTATGCAGAAGTTTAGGAATAGGATATATGGGCAGTTAATTCCGAGGACAGTAGCTCCAACGACTCTAACGGCTACTTTGCCTCTCTAGGACATCAACAACGACTATTTTGAAGATGTATATAAAAGAAAAGGTCTTTAAAGCCAACCGGTTAGAGAGAGAGAGTGTGTGTGCTTACAATATTTCTGAAATCTCTTGCTTGCTGTGTACCGGGCAAAAAGCTCATGCTTGTCAATAGCACTCGCTGCATTATAATTGTGTTGAAGTTTCAAGTGTACCAAGTGAGAGCAGCATTCACCTCATTGTAGTGTGATCTACAAACTGATAGGAGTGGTGCTTACTGAGTGTAACCTGATTAGCAAATTACTAGTGCAATCCAGCTTAACTTGTGGCTATTAGTGGTGAGAGTGGATGTAGGCTTGAAATCAAAGCGGAACCACTATATATCCTTGTGTGCAACTGCTTATACTTTTGTTTATCATTTCTAGCATACAAGTGATACATTATCTCTCATTCATCTGGTGTTTTCCAATATCTCTTTGTTACTTGCTGTTTTCTGCAAAAAATTTAAATTCTTCCTAAGCAACCTATTCACCCCCCTTTAGGTTGCATAGTTAGTCCCAACAACACCTTGTAAGGTAAGGTTCTAATGCCATCCCAATTCTGCTCCTAATTTTGGAGGCCATGTAGATTAACCAACTCTGAGAGTGGTCAGTTCTTGAATGGTTCCCAATTTGTGAAATTAGGATCTGACCCACTTGATCTTGGAATCTGGCCAAGGGCCTGCAGGTCCTTGCTAGTCGTCCCCCACCCTCGCTAGCCCTCCCCAGCGATGTTGGGGCGGCGACGGCGAGGGCTTCTAGCCCTCCTTGCTCGACTTCTCCTCCTCTCTTTTATTTTTTTTAATAATTTTTTTAAATATTTTAAAAATTTAATCTAAATAAAATTTTATATTAAAATAATAATAAAAGGTCACCTCTTCGCCATGTTGGATAGAAAAAATAATAAGAAAATCATGTTAGCGCCACGTAAGCATTTTCCGTTAATAAGTTAGACAGTGTTAACTTGAGGACTCGATTGAATCAATTTGACAAGTTTTATGACTTGATTGCACTTTTTGCAAATTTTAAGACTCAACTATACTTTTGTGATAAGTTTTAGGATTTTTGATGAACATATTATTTTTTTTATATGATTGACATTATTTGTTAGACAAGCCTAAACAATAACTTTATAACATGACACTATGTTGACACCTAAATTTCGGCGCATCATTTAGTGGTTAATTGCATAGAAAATTAGGGACTAAATTTTAACTCCTAAACAAAAATATTAAAATCGCATAGCATAAAGTTTAGGTTCATATAGATTAATTGCATTCCGCATCGGATTGGCGGTGGTAAGCGAGCTTAAAATTCATCACGTAAATCGAGCTCGGGCACCGAACGAGACTCGTCTCACTCAGAAAGCATGGGCCGAAAATCACACGCAAAAGGGCTTGGTTGTCTTAATTTGAGCTTAAATTAGCCCATTATGCTTAATTAAAGAAAAGCCCAAATTAATTCAGCCCACTTAAAATTAAATGATAATTAAAGCCTAAGCCCAAGCCTAAGCCCATTAGGACTAGAAAGCCCGGCTAATTGACCCAGGTTTACATTATAAATACATCGTTATGTGTCATAATTAAAGAGGGGACTCTGAGAATTTTCGGAGAAGAGAAATTCGGAGAAGTCGGAGGCTACGTAATTAAAACACAAGGCCACGAGAGAGAAGGAGAGAGGAGCTGCAGCTCTCCTCGGCGGTCACCATCGAGAGAGAAAAATAGAGAGGGAGGTCGGCCATTAGAGGAGTTATTTGTGTCGCGTCTCACATTGCTGGTCAGGGGGCGTCTTCATCAGAAAATTCACGATTGGTACGCCATCACTTCGCAAGAGACAATCCGGAGAAAGAAAGAGAGCAACCAAAAGCACAAAAAAGGAGAAGACTATGAAGCGGTGGTCTTTGTCTGGAGTGGTCCAAGCCGAGAGAGAGGGGCAGAGGAAGCTTTCACCAAAGGAAAAAAAAGAAGCTTTTCTTTGTCCATCTCCCCTGATTGCACGAAGGAGTCTCCCTCTCACATCTTTGTCCACAAGGGATTTTTCTTCCTCTGCAAAGAGAAGGCGTTCACAAGAGAAAACGCCAAAGAGGATCCCCGACTGTACACACGTTCTGCAAAGTCAGAGGTCTTCCAACACCGCCCTGGTCATCATCTTTGCTCCGCCTCCAGACCGTGAACAAACAGCCCCAACGACGTTGACCGGTTGCTGCTGTGAGTCTCGCCGAGCATCAACAACGATTCTTGTGCCTCTCGTTAGCCTCAACGCAGCGTCGCCTCCGTGACTCACCGCCTCGCACCTAGCGACACTTGTTCTTTCTCTGTTTTTGCAGATTGTCGAGCACCAATACGAGGTCACCATCTGAACCATTCAACGAGCCACAACGCCGACGAGCTTCTCGTGATCCACCGCGAACCGCCGCTCCCGACGCACCCCGTTCCGATCAGCAATCCCGATCCGCTACAGATTCAAATTAGGAAAGAAATCTGCAAATCAGGTAATTATCATATCCCGATTTGGTTTGAATATTTTGTTGCCTAATTCGTGCTTATTGATATCTAATTTTGCATATTTGGATAATAAGCATTATTTCAATTAGGATTTTATTTCTTTTTTTGGAAATCTTGGATATCTATTACTTTTCAAATTTGGATAGAATTTAGAATTTTCAAAATCTTTTGAATATATCCAAGATATTTAAGATATTTAATTTTTTTCAAGATGTGATCGATTAGGAAAATTTCCTAATCCGCAACCGCACACGTGGAAATAAATCTATCTATCAGGCTTTAGATAGAGTTATTTCCATAGCGGATATTTCGAATTTTAGGATCGATCTGTCAGGCTTCAGATCGAAACTTAATTCGAAAGATTTAGCGGTTATATTTTTTTTACTTGATTTTAATTTCGAATTTGGCATTTTTAATTCCGAATTTCATTAAAAAAAATACAAAAAAATAATATGCCCGTCATTAGAAATAGATCACGTCGTCGCATGACATATAGTTTGCATGTTAGGTTGCATTAATCGCAAGTCAATTTTTGCACGTCATTACATATAGGTTAGCTTTCATTTAAATAAAAGAAAATCAAAAAAAGAAATTTCTGCACCTTTGAACTCTAAGCCATGATTTATCAAAATTGTCAAATTGAGTATTTTCCTGAAATTGGTACCGAAAGGGCGTTAGGGAATCTAGCGTAACCAAGTCCCCGAATCTATAATTTCTGGTTCGCAGAAATAAAATAGTACTCCCGCTATTTTATTTAGGTTTCTAATCAACCTACCCTAAATGATTAGTGGCGACTCCCATTGAAAATATTTGCATGCTCACAATTGGACCTAAGTTGCGATTTGGTAGAGTTTGGGAGAACTCGAGCTAGGTTAGTTAATTTAATTGACCTAGTAATCCATTAGCCTAAGATCGAAACCCGATTTTTGTTAGGTCGCGACAGCTTGGCGACTCCGCTGGGGAAAACTTGAATTTTTTAAAAATTTTTTTTAAGGAGGACTTAGGCCAAAAATTTTTATGGAAAAATCACTCGATTTGACAAAATTTGATTGAATTCTCATTCTTAGATGTTAAATGGTTTTGCAGGATGGGAGTTATAAGGGGAGTAGTGATTGGCTAACCCATTGTTTTGCAGGTTTGGTGGAATTGTGATTTAATTTTTGCACTATTGAAGCGTTGTTTGCTTGTAATTGTTGTGCATGATTTACAGTATTTGCACTACACCACACACAACCTGTGACCGGACCTGGGTCACACCCATAGTTTTAAGATGGTATTTAAATGGTTCTTTAACCTTGGCGGTAAGACTTC